AATTTCAGGTTAATATTATATATATATATATATATTATTTATTATATTTGATATAATTAATTAATTTATAGTCTTGATTAATTATCTTTTGAAAATTGTTATTTTGAATTAAATAAAAAATAAGTTCAAAGAAAGAATATAAAATTGAAGATTTATTTTTATTTTGTTTTTTTAAATTCTTAAATTTCAAAATATTTATAAAATACTTTGTTAATTTTCTTTTTTTATAAAAATGTTCTTATTATAAACTTTTTAAGGAAATTTTCTTATATTTAGTTATAAAAAAAAATTTTTGAAAAAAAAAGAAAATAAGTGATAATTGCTATTTATTTTGTAAAAAAAAGTAGCAAAAAATTTTTTGAGAACATTTTGATTTTTAAAGATATATGTAAGGTGATATAGACAGTCGTGAAGTCCACAGATTATCACAAAATTGCAATTTAATTAGTGATATGTTCATAGATCGTGCGTTTACTACATTTGGCCCAGGGTCTAAACGGAATTTTAACCATACCTCACCATGGAGTACGAAGACGTTTTGATGAACCAGCCCGTTGTTATTGACAATGTATGGGCTTTAGTTCACTTTTTCTTTTGTTTTTTAACACTTTCTAAATGCAATATTCGTGCCGTCCGTTCAGGGCTCGGGAGTCATTAAGGCAGGGTTTGCTGGTGAAGAAATCCCGAAATGTTTTATCCCATCTTAGTAAGTCATTTTGTAGGCTACATTCACGAACCAAGTTCTTATATGGAAATTTAAGACTTACCAAGATTTTACAGTGTTGGTAGGCCAAAACATGTACGAATTATAGCAGGTGCTGTGGAGGGAAAAGTTTTCATTGGACGAAAAGCGCAAGAGTTAAGAGGACTGCTCAAAATAAGATACCCGATCGAACATGGTATTGTGTCTGACTGGGATGATATGGAACGTATATGGAAATATCTTTATGAAGAGGAATTAAAAACCGCATCGGAAGAAGTATGTTAAGGGATTAAATAGCAATACCAGTACGATCACTTATTTTCTTGTTTATTGGCTTAGCATCCAGTGCTTCTTACGGAGGCGCCGCTTAATCCTAGAAAAAATCGAGAGGATGCGGCCCAAATGTTTTTTGAGACATTTAATGTTCCCGCTTTGTTCGTCTCGCTTCAAGCCGTTCTGAGTCTGTAAGTTAAAATATCATTCAGCGAGTACGAAATCTTTTAATGATTATGTATTATAAACTAATCAAATCATTCTTTTCAATTAAAAAGTTATTCGTCCGGAAGAACTACTGGTATTGTCCTTGATTCGGGTGATGGCGTGACTCACGCAGTTCCCGTTTATGAAGGATTTGCGCTTCCTCACGCAATGCGAAGAATCGATATTGCTGGAAGGAAAGTATTAAAAAGAATTTATTGTTAATAACAGGTTTTTATATAGTATTAATATTTGACGTAAAACTTACAGGGATGTAACGGAATATCTACAGTTACTTCTCCGCAAGGCGGGTTATAACTTCCATACGACAGCCGAGAAAGAGGTCGTTCGTATTATTAAGGAAAAGACATGCTATGTTGCAATCAACCCGGCAAAGGAAGAAAAAGAAATGTCCGGAAAATTTGATGATTTTACTCTGCCTGATGGCAATGTTGTCAAGGTTTTTATAATTTTGCTATTTTGATTAACTTAAATAAACTTGGAGCGAGTATTCATAATAACTTAATCTTTATAGTTGGGCAACGAAAGATTCAAAGCGCCAGAGATCTTGTTTAATCCTGAATTAATTGGGCAAGAATACGCCGGCATTCACCAAGTTTTGGTCGATTCTATCAATAGAGCCGACCTTGATTTAAGAAAGGCGTTATTTGCCAACGTTGTTTTGTCGGGTGGCTCGACACTCTACAAACGTAAATCATTTATTTATTTTAAAAAACTTGTAGGATTGTTTAGTTACTAATATATATTTGTTTCAAATGCAGACTTTGGAACAAGGTTGTTAGAAGAGGTAAGAAGATTAGCCGTGAAAAACATTAAAGTCAAGATCTCTGCACCACAAGAACGAAAATACAGTACATGGATTGGAGGATCTATATTGGGCGCACTGAGCACATTCAAGAAGGTTTGTCATATATTGATGTACTATATATATTATGTATATGAGGGCCAGGTATAAATTTAATGATTTACCTTTGTACACAGATGTGGGTTTCAGCTGAAGAATATCAGGAAGATCAGGATATTATTCATAAGAAAAGTTTCTAAATGTGATTCACATTTTTTAATTTATCTTCAAGTTTGCATTTATTATTCATAATACATTTTCAATAATAATTTTTGATGAAGAACATGTTTCTCGAGGCGCATCCTGTCTTGAATGCATCTTTTTTTTATTTTTTTTGATGTGATATGTAAGTCTGTATGTGTTACTTTTTAAATATTTAATAATTACTTCTACGAAAAAAAAAACCTTAGCACTTTATTCGTGTTTGTCCACATTCATAAAGTTTGATTCATGGTACAATTCGAATAACGGTGAAAATTGTACCAATAGGAGATTACATTGACATTCTGTTTTCTGTTATAAAATAGAATACTAGTCCCAAATCCAGATGTTTAGGCACCGCTGATAAATACCAGCTTTTCGAGTTAGCAATGTTAATACAATCTCGACTAATTGTGTTTTTGACTCTACTATGAGCACAAGATGTACAAAGTTTTTTACTAAATACAAAACCGTATCATCTCGGAAATTACTTATCATCATCATCATCGTATCCAAACAATTCATCAGCTGAATTTGGTTGATCTAACATTATATCATCATCATCAAATTCGGGTTGTTCATCACCGCTACCGACATTTGCAGTCGGCGCCTCTAAACCTTGTGGTGCTATTGATATTGATGCAGACTCTTTTTGGTTGTATTCCGGCTTCAAATGGTAGCAATTGTTATAAGGACCTTTCTTATCTAAGACAGCTATTTCACTCAATACTTCTTTAAGATAAGACTGTGTGTGGATAGAATAAAAGAAATTCAAATTTATTATGTCCTCATTTTGCATGAACCAGTGATACTTTGCTTTTTTACCTCGGGTTGTTTTGCATAATCTTTCAGACCACGAAAACTCCAATACATGTATCTTGAAAACGCGCCGAAAAGTAAATCCAAAAGCTCGTGTTTGGGAATACGCGTAGTCTTCTGTTCCATAGTAACTTTTGCTTTTTTTTGCTGAATACAATCCAAATAAGGTTTACTAGCAATATTACATCTATAATTCATGACACAATTGGAAAATACATACTACTAGATTGCTGAATTTTGTTACAGCAGCAGAAGAGCCACCAGGTGGAACATAAGCACCACGACTTTCCTCTTCCTCAAGAATCCTGATTGTTCTTTCAGGTTTTGAAGCCAGCATTGTTCTTTCACGTAGCTTCTTATTATATTCTACATCATTTGCACTGGGCTTCATGTTAAAAGTTGCTTTAATTGTGCCCGAAAGAGATACGACTATCGAACAAAATGATAGTGGTTATAGGCATCATTCCTTTATTCTCCTTTCAAGTAATTACATTTAAAAAATTATTACGTGTATCGGCATTGACATCTTGACAAAAACAGTACGAATCAGGGACGCCTTGATTTATGATGTCGAGTTCATATTCTTTGGGCAAATCTTTATGTAGATCATTCTCGGCTATAACTAGTTTATACTAAAAGTATTACTAGAGATTAAATCATACAGGAAGTAAAATTTGTACTTTATTCTTAAGAGACACTCACTTGATCTGGTCCGCTGTTTTTTTTTGGAGATGAGAGAGTTTTAGCGAGACTAAACTTTCGATGGAAATTATATTATTCATGAAATTTACTAGGGTTGCTGTTGAGAGTAGACTCTAACTCTCGCAAGTTCTAAGGACTCATCATCCAGATCAGCCCATTTCTCGTAGAGAAACAAAGGTAACTATACAAAGTTTTGTAAGTAACATATTGTAGAATAGGTAGAAAAAATAACAAATGGTAAAACCTTGATTAGCCATGCTTCTTCCCCAATGTCTTTCATGTCAAGATCACCTTCATCTTCGTCATTTTCATAACCCGCATCCGTCATTTCGCCATTAAATTCTTCTTCGTTAAGTGACTCGTGATCAAAGCTTTCCTCCATATTTGTATTCTTTGCCGTGAGATAATGGAAAAGTGACTATTTATACTTTTTTTTTTGTGGCGTAGTTTGCCATATGCTGCATTCATACATTTGAGTTACATCTTTTTAAACGTGGAAAGTTTTGATTGGTCAAGAGTGGAATTTCAAGAGTATTCAACTTTTATCACGTCTTTACCTCTTTGACATAGACAATAAAAGAAATGCGGTCACTTCAATATCTTTATCTTCTTCTAGTATCAGTAGTATTGAAAACTTTCTTCATACCATGTATATTTGCCACTTCAAGTGCTGTTAGTTCGGCACCATTTTATGTTCCCCAATATTGGAAGAACACAAATTTTCTTCGCGTGATAGACTTGACAACATATGCCGTGAGAGAGACGACGTCAATTGTTGCGAAAAATGTTCACAGCGAACCAATCGGAGAATATTACTTTCCAATAAAAGAAGAATTCGACGACCACCTATCCTACATTGAAGTCACGGAGAAAAAAACGGATAAAATTTTTCAAGTCAAGAAGGCGGAATTTGATTCCTTAAAGTGGGTAACTGATCTTTTTTCAACAGGACATGTGAATATTTTTACTATGCAATATTCAAGCGAAAAAAATCAAGTATATTGCGGAAAATCGAGTAAATTTAAGAATTCACTCCTTCCTTTGAATGCTGATTCAACAAACGTTAACCAAAATCAAAATTGCAGCAGGATCCAGTTTTATAAAATCACCTTTGATCGTCGTATCGATCCAAATGAAAAAATTGTATTAGTTGTGAAAGCGATTTTCACACATACGTTGACTCCATATCCACGTGAAATTGCCCAGACTGGAAGACAAAATCTATTATATCAGGGAAATCTTTATGGAAATAGTGCATACCCTACCGAACAACAGAAAACAAATATAAAGTAAGACAAAAAAAGACTTTATTGCAATAACTGTGAAATTTGCTTTTCTAAAAACCTTCGCCTCCCTAGACTTCCTACAGCCAATTTGATTAGTTACACTGAGAAGCCTGGTCCTGTAAGCCGTAGTGGGAACACGGTCACATACGGATTTTATTACGATATAAAACCTGATGCTTTTGAAAAACTTATAGTACACTACGAATTTCAAGAGGCACTATTAACAGTCAAAGGTTTAAGACGAGATTTAGAAATCAGTCACTGGAGTGATAATTTAGCAATTGAGGAGCATTACAATCTAACTCATGATGGAGCAAAGTAAGTTTCGATACTATCATTTTGTAAAGGGGTTTGCAGATTGGATAACACAAATATACAAATTGCATTAGGCTCAAAGGTCAATTCTCCCGGCTGCAATACCACCAAACCGTTTATGTTCATCAAGACACAACAATGGCACGTGATTTCACTTTCCACTTGCCACCCCGTGCTTCAGGTGTATATTATAGAGATGAGATTGGTAATGTATCAACTTCTCGGTTACGAAGTGAACGAGATAAGACCGTCTTGGAATTTAAGCCACGTTATCCATTGTTTGGAGGATGGAATTACACGTGGTATTATGGATATAACGTGCCTCTAGACAACTTTTTGGGTCACAAGAGTGGGAAATATATTCTTAATATACCTTTTATTAACCCATTAAAAAATGCGGTCTATGATAAAGTGCAAGTAAGAATTATTTTACCTGAGGGTGCAAGGTAATGTGAATAAACATCTTTTATACATCAACTTTTGAGATCAAAAATTGACTAATTCGATTTAATACTTTAGTAATGTCAAGGTGGAAACTCCTTTTCCTGTCGATAGAGAAACCCATACTGTCCTTAAAACGTATTTTGATAGCAAGGGAAGATATCTCGTTGTCCTTGATAAATACAATGTAGTTTCAGAATATTCTGTGCCTTTTCAGATCTCATATGAATATGATTCTCTGGAACTACTCAGAAAGCCATTGGTGGCCTCGACATTCTTTTTCTGGGGATTTTTGTTAAGCATTATATACTCCAGAATGGAATTCACTATTGGGAAAAAATAAAAAAAAGTATTCTTTAAATAATTTTAATGCTAAACACATTCACATCCTTATAGAAAATAATTTAAAAAAAACATAAATGTTTATACTGTTATTGGTTGTTATGTTAGTGAAAGAACAGTACATCAAAATTTTTTTATTCGTGCCATATGTATTTTGAGCAACATATAATTAAAATAAAGGAAACCATTCTTAAAACTCCATCCGCAAGCAGGCTATTTATTGACAAATTACATTACCTCTTCTATAATTTGTTTCAATTGGTTTAATTATAATATATTAAAGGACCCAACCATACAATCATGAAAACTCTGTCAAAATATTCGTTTGGTTCTAAAATCCGGATCTGAATTTCCATATAATTTAAACCGTAAAACTCGTCAAAGTAAAACGCGACGCATACTATCCGATATAAATAAAATCAAAAATACTACAATCTTAATCGCTAATTCCATATATAATTTTACTATGATACATTGCATAGGATAGCAATAGTTCGAAAAAAAAACAAAAAATACAAAAATCCGATTCCTTCCATAAATTGAGTCTCGTCATAGAATCAATTAATATTAATCTGAAATCAGAGACGTACCCAAATCTTCGTTGGGTTCCAACAAACTAAATAAAGCACAAATATTAACATAATATGAATTTTCGAAAAGTACCAAACGTAAAATACTTACCTGTACTGTTTGAGAAGTACGCATTCACCACCATTTTCTAAATCTATATTATATTGGTAAAAATATCCTTCAGAAGTAACAACCATGACTTGTGGGGTGGTACTAACAATGGAAAGTTTTTAATCAACATTCACCAAATGAGGATTTAAATTTCAAATTCCCAAAACTTGATTATACTTACTTGCTTAAAGCAACTACGCTCTGTACGCCAGAGCTCGGTAGCTTCAAATACGCAAAATCACGTGTTGGCTCCCACATTTCTGTAAGGGCATCAGGAAGATAATTACCGACATTGTCCGCAAGCGTGCGTCTAAGATGAAGAGATTGGCGGCGTATGGTGCTTCTGCCACCAAAGTGTATTTTTTTTTATTAAACTAAAGAATGTAGTTCTTGAAAGAAGTTTAGATGATGACTTACCCAACTCCTCCAGATTTCTTTTTTCCATCGATAAACGCCTCAAATCCACCTATATTTGGAGAACCAACGGAATGACGTACCATAGGATTTGTTGTTCCACCTGTGCCATTAGAAGAACCATTGTTTGAACTTGCATTACTACCAGAACCTCCCGTGTTCCCTCCCAATTTAAAAACATGTACAGTTTCGGTATCACTAGATACACATAATAATGTGCTGACGAGATTAAAAGAGATAGAGTGAATACGGGCTGGATAAGAGCCCCGTCGGAATTGGTACAATTTTTGTGCATTAGGAATGGAAAAAACGCGGATAACGGTTCCCTTTATATTAACAGTATATTTTTTTAGTCAAAATTAATTATTATATAACAAGTACACGACTAAATAAATTACCTTGTCACTTGCAGTTGCCAACAGTGTCCCCTCGGAATTAATAGCAACGTAAGCTACTGGACTTTTATGTGCTTGAACATAGTTAACATTTTGCAATGACAAAGCATCAAAAATCAAGACATCCCCAGAAGTGGTATTTTGTAAGCTATTATTAGAAAATGGAGAAGATGGAGACGGATTTTGTGACGGATAAGCTATATAACAATTCTCATTTGAAGGTGAAAGGGCACAAATTGCTAAACGAAATAATATAAATATAAATGTCATCAATGTAATTAATGTTACAATGAATATGCTATTTTCTACGAAACAATTTACCTGACGGATTCGGGCTAGTTTCAATACTATGTAATAATTTCATGTTGCTGATATCATAAACAAAGATTGTTTGCTCCAGAACGACAATCAATCGTCGACGATTAAGTTTCACGGCTAGAATTGATGTCTGGAAGGTGAGCTCGCATATAGTGGATTGACGCTTTATGATGAACAATAAAATCATCAATTATCTAATGGTATTATTTAATGATTCAATTTCCACTTTTCAATTTTATTGACATACCTTCGTGTTTGTTATTTGCAAACGTCTTGGTGAAAATGAAGGGTGTTCTCCCGCTCCTACCAGAGCAACGAGGGAAGTGCAAAAAAGCATTTCGATGATACCAATTCCTCCATCAGCTATTGATATATCATGGAGAAATAGAATAATCATCCATGTTATGTAAATTAATTTAATATCAAAATTTCGTTTAATGATTTTTTATTCGCATTGTAAAAACCGTCGCGACTTAATTTTTTTTTTTTATTTTCTTTTGATCAATTTGTAATAACCAATGACCCTAACTACAGTGATACCCATTGAAACGAATGACAGTAATATAATTGCTATACAAAGAATTTATTATACATAAAATGTTTGCTTACATTTTGAGTAACATTTCCCGAAAGGATCGCAGTTATATATTTTATAACCATGCTGCGTGCCGACAGAGATACAACTTTTTTTCGACAAAGAAAATAAAGAAAATTAAGTATATAGATTCAAGTAAATAATAGTTTGTTCTTAAACATCTTATCTAACTAACTTATCCTAGCTACTTTGTCACGGCAGTAAAACCCAACACACATAAGCTAAACGCGTCTAAGACGAAATAACCCACTCTTAAAAAGTAAATTTGACTTACCTGAAATCTTGATTAAAATTGATGAACAACAGTTCAGAGTCACCTTTGCCGCAGAGGTTCATGACGAATCTTTAAACAACTATACTGGTAAAAAAACCGTTTAGTCCGTTTGATCAGACTAAATGTCAGGTGCGTACTTCGGGTAGTGCCACGTAGCACAATCATACTGTACAAGTAATTTTTTTATTAATTAAAATATGAAATTAAATTCTTTCTAATATCCAATATATAAAAATTTAATAAGTATCAAACCTGGATATAACGAACCTGTTTATAACGAAGCTATAATAAAATGCTAGTTATAACAAATTTTTGAATTTTGAATTTACTCAAAATTCATTATAAAAAGAGAATTTTATTATATAAATTTTTAAAAATTCTTTATAATGAATTTTTAAACAATTTTTTTTAATTTTTACTAATTAGCCCGAAGGCTTCGTTATATCCAGGTTTGACTGTATTTTTTTAATATTTAAATAAAAAAATTTATTTTGTCTAAAATTAAATTTTTATTTTTATTAATAATTTAATAAATAATTAAATAATTAAGATAATATTTATTTATTTATTTATTTAAAGATACAAAGAATAAAAATAAATAAAATAATATTACGTATTAATTTTTAATTAAAAAGAAAATTTTAATTTTTTAATTTTTTTATCATTTACAAAAAAACAACAATAACAATAAATTATGTAAACTATTTCAATATATAAATTAATTAATTATAGGTTAATAAAACTTTAAAAATATTTTTATTAATGAAAAATTTTTTATTAATATTAATTTACAATTAATTTATATATTGAAAGAATTTAAATAATTTATTGTTGTTTTTTTTTTGTAAATAAAAAATTTAATTTGCTATTACTTTTTAATGTATTATCTTAATTAATTAATTATTTATTTATTAAATTATTAATAAAAATATAATTTTAATTTTTTTTGTCCCAGACTGTATATATTTGGAGTTTTTTGTACTTGATCATCGATTTCTTTAAAAAAAAAACGCCATAAAATGCCACCAACAAGAAAAGCTACGACGACTAATACTATGAGTGTCTCGGCTTTAAGAAAAAAAATACGCGACACGAAAAGGGCTTTAAGATCGGTTGAGTATTATGTATTTGATCTATTAGCCATATGTATTTTTTCAATAACTTTTTTTTTATAGAACAATTTGTCCGCTAAAGGTCAAACAAGTTTGGAAAGACAACTGAAGGCCTTAAACCTAACACTTGTAGAAAGAATGATAGATTCAAAAGAAAGGAAAATGGCAAATAATTATCGAATGGTAAAACATTTCGGTTAGTATTATGTTTTATAAACTTATTATGAGATCGCTAAAATGGCTTAACTATTTATCAAATTTAAATAATTGAAAATCAAGATATGGTTAAAATCAATAGAGCAATAAAAAAGACAAAAAAAACAATTATTAGAGGCAAAAAACCAGCAAGAGATAGAAATTGCTGAAAGAAGATTGCATGAGTTAGAAATCGATCGAGCTTATATAATAGTAAGTAAAATTGTTTTAGATCATATACATTTATGTTAAAAATCAAAAAAAAATCTTAACATTTTTTTAAGCACTTTCCAAGGGGTCATAAATATTTGGCGCTTCACCCGACATCTGGAGGTGATAATCCCGAAATGATCGCCAAAAGGAACGAGATTCGAGAGCTCATAAAAGAAGCGACTGAGAAGAATAATCTGGATTCTCTAAATAAAAGATTTAGAGAAGAAACGAAAATGAAAATAATAAAAAAAATAGAAAACAACAAGAAGTTGCAGAAGAATAAATCAGAGGAGGCTGCATTAAAAAGTATATTTCTTTTAGCAATTGATCAGAAATTCCTAATTGCTGTTTCAATTTACTTCGGACAAAATTTTTCTTACTAGTATTTTATTTAATTTAGATGATGATATAGATAAAATTTATGACGACGATTTTTTTGGTTCAGAAAGTGATGATGACAATAAAAAAGATCAACCAATTTAAAGAGTAGATTGTAAGGAAATTGGATGAGTTGGTTCATGCTAGTTTTTAATTTATGTCAGCAATTCGCGAAGAAATTTTCTAATTGATCAGGTTATTAAAAATTTATTCAATCTATTATTGTATTTATACCAATTTTTCTATGTACAAATGAAAAACGAAAGGGATTTGTCCATCAATGGGCTAATAATGCGTATTCACATTCTTTATAATAATGATGAATCAATTACCTTTCGAAAAGCAATTTTTTTAGAAAGCTGACAATCTCTAAATGGCAGTCAATAATGTTTTGCTGCATATTTCGTTCCTTGTCAGACAACCAATATTATTTAATATAGCTACCACATTAAAAATTATATTATTGACGGAAATGTTTAGCACAATGAAAACTTGTGTGTCGTGTGGATAAATATCTAGTTGATTCTTTTATACTTTTGTTAATAGAACATTTAACATTCTACAATCTCAGTGTTTAACCCAATTTTGATACCAACATAATAAATGCAATAGTTATTTTTAACAAAAAAACAACAAATTTATATTTAAAATTAAATTATTTACTGTATAATAATGATATTATATAAGAAATTAAGGTTCCTAAATTTAATTCTATGTCTTATATATGATTCATCTATATAATTTACTATATATACTTCCGTACCATTATTATATATATATAATAATAATAAGTCACTATATTTAAGTTTATATAAGGTCTACAATATGTTAAGAAAAAAACTGGAAAATTTTTATATCAAATATTTAATATTAAATTGAGAAATAAAAATTTAGATAAAACAAAATAATTACAAAATATATTTTTAAGATACTGTATACTGTATATTTAAAAAAAATAATAAATTTTATATTAATTCTTCAATAAAAATATTTTTATAAAGTTATAAAACTAAAAAAAGTTTTTAAAAAAAACAATTAAAAAATTTATTATTATTAATTTTATTAATACAATTATAAAAAAATTTTTATATAAAAAAAAACTCTTTCACAAAATTCAAAATTCCTAAAAATTTTCTTTTTTGGTAATACTAAAAAACACAAGAATATTCAAAGAAACACTTTAGAAAAATATCAAAAAGAAAAAACTTCACAATATCTTCTTGAAAATAAAAGAGAACAAATATAACAAGTATACTGTGGGTTCAAAAAATATATTAACTTTTTTTTATTTTTCAATTTTAAAAACAGATATTTGTGATTTCTTATTAGAAAAAAAGAAAAAACAAAGAATACAATTTATAATAAAATCAAAAGAAAAAGTTAGCATCATATTTCACATATTTCACAAGCTATCAGCTAGTTATATACTAGATTAAATACTTCTCTAGACACTAGCAGGACTCAGTATTAATCAAATTATACCTGATAAACTAAGTAATCTCATACATCAACATAAAATCAGAAGGGTACCAAGACTTTCTTATTATTGTAATTAAAAAGAAAAGTATAGATCTCAATATTTTTAAAAATAAACATTTGTTATGTAATCAAATTTTGTTGAAAACAAAAAAACTAAAAACATATTACCTCTCCCAAAGATCAACAGTAACACAAATATATACTTTTCTTTTTTTTTTTTTTTTTTTTTTTTTTTGAGTAGGTAAACACTATTTCTTTATTTATTTGTATATTATAAGATATACATTTAGAAAGAAACAACATCTCTCACGTGCGATTAGCAGTGAGTTTAATGCTAGCCTGCCTACAGTAATCACTTAACTTCTACTAGAAAAGATATTTTAAAACTAGTATACTAATCAAATGATACCAAGCAGCTATGTATGCCTACTCAGAATTATTGAAAAGAAAATAAAATTAACTAAAATTAAAACAAAATCGAATAAACTGTAAGATTTATGAAAAAAAAAATTATATCTTCAAGAGAACCCCTGGCCAGGCTCGTTGTTCTGTCTCTCCAGTTCCTTTTGACTTGTAGGTATAATCTTTGTTAACATGGATGATAAAGTGTATATGATTTGGTTTGTCGTTATAGTTGTTGTTATTGTTGTGTTAGTGTGATTGATGATTGGTAAGATGATTGGTCTGCAAGTTGGTGGTATGATCTTGTTTTAGTTGTGGTTGCCAATATTGGTTTTAAAATTAACTAAAACAAAGTCAAATAAACTGTAAGATTTATGAGAAAAAAAATTATATTTTCAAGAGAACCCCTGGTCAGGCTCGTTGTCCTGTCTCTCCGGTTTCTTTCGACTTATAGGTATAATCTTTGTTGACATGGATGATAAAGTGTATATGATTTGGTTTATCGTTATAGTTGTTGTTATTATTGTGTTAGTGTGATTGGTGATTGGTAAGATGATTGGTCTGCGAGTTGGTGGTATGATCTTGTTTTGGTTGTGGTTGCTAAAATTGATTTTGTTTATATTGATCATTGTGTGATGTTTTGATTGTATGAATTTGTTTGGATAATTGATAATATTTGATTGATTGGT